GCTGGAAAGCTCCCATAGTATCGCATAAAGATTGTTTTCCAGGAGTATAATATATATCTTTGTACATCAGTAGAATTGATACATTGAAGATACAACAGTATTTCACTAAAGATAGTTAAAGAATCTTATAAAACATTTTTAAAGAAAAAATATTGTAAGATTCGTAAAATAATATGTATATATGACTAAGAGATGTATGGGGTATCGAGTATCCAAAGTAGCAGAGTAAAATTATAATGTTATCCAACTGGAACAAACATACAATATCTCGAAAATAACAAATATAAAATTTAAATTTTGCAAATAAATTCAGTAAGAACCATTTTATAACTACCTCCATTTTATAACTACAATCTGTCATTATATATTATTTTAACATAATCAAAATCTGATTTGATCGTGCTGATTTGACCATATAAATTGCACATTTATCATTTTTATATAATGCAGATCTAAAATAATACCCTTTTAATGTATCAAATTTAATGTATCAAAATTTATGATTTGTATTTTCTTATTACTTTGTAGCTTCCGATTTCACATATAATTTTGTTATCATCATGTGCGAAGATTCAAAGTATTATATTCTTGTATCTTAAAAGTTAAATATCTTTAATAACTAAAAAGTATAAAAGCAAATTATTAATATATATATATATATATATATATATATATATATATATATATATATTTGTTTTTTTTTTCGTGCTTATAAGAGGTCGAGTAGATCTTTGCAGAGATACTTTCTATTGTACAAAGTTCTCAAATTTTGAAATCACACAAATATACTTCGGATACTGCCAGATATCTTATACATCTTTATAATATGAATATATATGCATATACATGTGTATATACAGACATATATATGTGTCTGCGTGTATATGTGTGTGTGCATTTTTCGATTATCTCAACATTATTGCGCTTGCCCAGAACATTTTACGTTTAAAGTATTACTTTCTTGCAATTTAGTTTCAGTTCATATTAGTCATAGATCAGCAAGAAAAAACTGAACATAACTTCATACAATTTCTTGTACAAATTGACAATTAATGCTGTCTATATGACATTTTATAAAGAAATATACTCTTGTCCCATTGAATCTTTCTCCATATCTTTGACATTTTGTTCTCTTGGAAGATAGTAGTGGACATTGGCATTGAACGATTTTTAAGCTTTTTTAATACCATCAAAGAATACTTGTCTGAAACGAGTAACGTAAAACATGTAATGCAGAAGTATCGTGTTACGTAGGAAATGTAATATGTCACATAATAATGTCACATAAAATATTACTTTACCCTCCTTTTCTTTACACGTCTCACTTACTACTAGTTCAAATGAAATGAAAAATTATATGGGAATTATCCAATCTTGGCGAATGGCGCATTGAGCGAAAGGATATATTAATTTTCCATTACACATGTCAACAAGGAGGTGGGCTAGATGTCGGAGCTGTGTCTACGGTTGTTGCGGAAGAAGATGCTACTGCGGTTGTCTTATTGTCGGTGCTTAATCTCCGCCTGGTGAACATGATTTGTTCCATTAACTCGTGATGTGCCTCTAATCGTTCAATGCAATGTAAACATGCAGTCTTTGGCAGCGGGTCATTCATGTTTACCTGCAAAAACGTACAAAATTGTTTTATTATAAAGATAACGTAAATGTCAAATTATGTAGACAAAGTGGTTTGTCATAAAAATTATTTGTACACATGAAAAGGACAATGTCAATGTATATGTTCCCACGAAATATAACAAAATAATGTCGATGCCCTAGATTTATGAAGTACATGGGGAGATAAAATAAAGTAAGTTTTAAAAAACCATAGGCTACCTATATCCATTACAGTACAAGGAATCTTTTTTTTTTAGATACTTATTGCATTGCCTCTAGATAAAGATCTATGCAAAGTGCGAGAAGTGAAAATCAATCAAGTTTCGTATCGGACGAAAAATGCCTAACCGTCTTGGAGAATCGGGTAAAACGCGCATAGGGGCACGTAGTATTACCGTGATCGGCAAATAGGTGTTTATCTTCTCGGCGAGCTTCATTCTCTCGCCCTCTTCCCCATATATATGGATCACGAAGCGGTTCATCTTACTGCAGAGCCTGCATATGAACCCCGTGATCACGGCCTTGTCCGTGCTGCCCATCTCAGCGGCTTTGGCGGCTTTGCTCGATGGTTGCTCTCACAGTGCACGCACAATCCTCACTCGCCTTCGATACCGTTCGACTCACAACTGTCGTTGACAGCGCGACTTCGCTATCGTAATCGTAAGTTACAGCGAGAGAAGTGTCGGACGTCGGACGTCGGACGTATACGCTTTTTTACCTGGAGATCTCCTGGAGTTTGTTTATTACAGACTCCGCCGAACGCTAGCGCGCTCCGAGCGATGCCTCCTTCAGTGTCGTACGCGCCGTCCACTAGGGCCCTAGTTGCCGTGGCCTGCATTCTCATCAACTTATCACCATTCTCCATCGTTAGATTATTATGTTGTGTCTTTATGCCGTATGGTATTCTTGCATTCCTTTTACTAAATTCCAATTAAAGAGGAGTGTCGAACGAAAGTTTTTCCTTACACAATTACTATTAAATTTTTTTTATTTACGCTCCCAATATTTTTTTCGATCTTATCCTGACATTTGTAAAAACTTATAATATACTTAAAATATAAAACACACTAAAACTATACAGGGTGTTTCCTAAGCAAGTATCAAAAATTGAAGGAGGATATAATAGATGATCTAAAAATGTTTCATCGGTACTG